CCCACCCACCTTCAAATTAACCAATAGAAAACCAACAACAGGTCTGTGTCAGTCTCTCCAGTCATCTTAGCTGTTAGCATTAGCTTCCATTAATTTGTTTTTATCTGTTTAATTTTGCTTTATTTGCTGACGATACAACATTTTTTTGTTTAGGTAAAGATATAGAAAAACGTTTGAGATGGTGCAGAAAGAATTTGAGAAAATACAAAATTGGTTTCAACAAAACAAATTGTCATTAAATTTGGATAAAACAAATTTTATGATATTTAGTAATAGGAAGACAACTGTTGATTTCTCCTTTAAAGTAGATGGTATTGAGATCTGTAAAGTCAGTGAGGTGAAATATCTGGGTGTCATCATTGATGACAGGCTGACATGGAGACCTCACTTACATTATTTAAGAACAAAAATATCTAAATCTATTGGAGTACTGTATAAAGTCAGGGAGTTATTCAATGACAAGGCTCTGCTTGTGTTGTACAATTCAATAATTGTTCCACATTTAATTTACTGTATGAATTCTAGGGTAAAGCTTGCAAAACAATTACAAATCCGATTTTTGTTTTACAGAAAAGAGCCATAAGAATTATCACTAAAAAAGATTACAACCATCCATCAAATACATTATTTTGCAAACTGAATATTTTGAAATTCTATGATTTGTTTGACTATAATACAGTATTTTACTGTTTATAAGGCTCACAGAAACATATTACCTTCCAACATTCAGGCAAACTTTGTTAAGAGAGACAGTTATTATCTAAAGGGGATGGAAATGTTTGTGAAGCCATATTTTTGTACTTGCTTGAGAGAAAGATGTACTTTAATCCAGGGTGTTTAATCCAGGGTATTGTTTAATCCAGGATATAGGATTGTGGAATGGTCTGGAGGATGATCTTAAAAATGCCAGATCTATGTATATATTTAAGAAACAGATAAAAACTAGTTTTCTGAAAGTATATGGAAAAGAAAAAATAAAGCTATATGAATTATTGTTTGAGTTGATGTTTTTATTTTAATTTAGTATTGTTTTGTAAATTATGTTTTGTTTGAATATATTCTGGGGATAAAAGGGACAAACATTATAAGATTTATCCTTCTTCTGCTACCTTTCATTTAATTTTGATTTGTATATTTTCTTTGTTATTTTATTGCATATAGTTATTTTTTAATGAAATGAATAAAATTTTTGAACTGAAAAAAAAATTGAAATCGAGTTTAGCGTTAGCGGAGCTACGGTACTAGATTAGCTTGTTAGCGGTTAGCTTTGTCCCCTCACCGTCTATCCGACCCACCAGCTCCTCTAAAGCTTTCACTTTGTTCTGGATCCCGGGCTGGGCGAAGGTGTAGTTGTCCTGAAAAGGAAAACCCGTTATCGTTAAACGGACTCGACACGAGTCAACCGTTCGTTTCCAGGCTGGCAGCGACGCGAACGCACCTGGATGCCGTCGAGCAGCTTGCTCATGCACCAGAAGCTGTCGGCTTCGATGTTCCTCTGGGTCTCCAGGGGCAGCGCCGCCACCTCGAAGTTCTCCACGTCCTCCTCTGCAACAACAAGCAGCTCATTTAAAACTTCCCCCCCCACAAACGTTCATTTCAGCACAGAAAGCCAGTCGTGCACAAAAATGTTCACTTACTGACGAACTCTGACAAGAAGACGACAAAAAAAGGCGTGACCAGGTCGTTGATTCCCTGGACGTAACCGCTGGCCGGGTGACGGATGGCCCAGATGAACAGAATCCGCTCAAACACCTGAGAGTAAAACGTCTCTGGATGAACTCACCTGCACGTATTTACTGCAGCTCAATAAAACATTACATGATGAACTAAAGCTTTAGAGAAAACTGAGCTCTAATCTCATCTCACAGTTCCTCTAAATCTCCACAAAGTTGTTTTTTAACCACAAAAGTGATAAAATCACAAATTGAGTTTTGACATTAAAGTTCCTCTTCCTCTCTGAGCCGTCGCCTCCTTACTTCAGTTTCACGTAAAGAAACGTCCAGATTGTGTTTTAAATATTTATTTTTCAGGTAAAAAAAAAAACAAAAAAACAATCATTTTCAGCTGCGACTCTAATTAATAATAAAATAAATCAAATAACTGTTGTGTGAATTCACCTCTTGGACCGTCGGCTGTTGGAACAGCGGGATGAGAGGGTTGGTTCTGGGAATGTCGATGTGGATCTGTCAGGAAGAAAGAGTTTTATTCAGGTGTTTCCTGACTGGACAGGTGAGGTGTTACCTGGTGGAGCTGCAGCCGGACCTGTCTGTACGTGTCTTTGTGTTGCTCGTCAGTGATGGAGTGGTAATACTGCTCTATAAACCCAAAATACTCCTCCCGCTTTCTGCTCAGAACCAGCTCTCTGCGCTCCATGTTGGCCGGCAGGTAGCCCTGCAGGACACCGGGAGATGGGTCAGAACTCAGAACAGAACCTGTTTTTACCTGGAGACAGGCTGCATGACTCCATGAGTCGTTAAAACAGACTAAAATAAGCAAAACACTAGCGAAAACTGCAAAAACAACAGAACAAAAAGCTGAAAAACAGGAGCTAAAATCAGTCACGGATGCTAAAATGAGCAAAACCAATCTATAAAATTAATTAATTGAACAAAACAGAAGCTAAGTTTAGCAAAATAACTAAAAGCAGCTAAACATGAGCTAAAATGAACAAAACAGGAGCTAAAATGAGCAAAACAAAAGCAAAATTTAGCAAAACAATAACTACAAGCAGCTAAACATGAGCTAAAATGAACAAAACAGAAGCTAAAATGAACAAAACAGGAGCTAAAATGAGCAAAACAGAAGCTAAATTTAGCAAAACAATAACAAAGTAGAAAACATAAGCTACAATCATGAATTTTAGTTAGCTACAACAATTTTTAGTCATCTTTTCCTGTTAAATCAATAAATCAAATCAATTAGAAAAAATGCAAAAAGAAATGATAAACCTAAGAATGGCTAAACAAATGTGAAAATTTAGCAAAATAGTAGCTAAAATGAGAAAATAGAAGATAAATTTGGCAAAACAATCACCAAAATTAGCAAAACAGAAGCTATATTGAGCAAAACAGAAACTAAAATTAGAAAAACAGAAGCAAAATTTAGCTAAACAGTAACTAAAACCATCAAAAGTCGCTAAAACAAGCAGAACGAGCTAAATTTAGCAAAACAATCATTAAAAGCAACTAAACAGGAGCTAAAGTTAGCAAAACAGAAGCTACATTGAGCAAAGGAGAAGCTAAATTAAGCTAAACAGAAGCTAAATTGAGCAAAACAGAAGCTAAATTGAGCTAAACAGAAGCTAAATTGAGCTAAACAGAAGTTAAAATGAGCTAAACAAAAGCTAAAATGAACCAAACTGAGGCTAAGTAGTTAGCTTCTAAAATCAGAGCATTTTGAAGGAATATATTGTATCTTTATGTATTTTAATTAAAGTTGTTTTAAAGTTAAATATTTTAAAAAGTATAAAAGTCACGAACACTAAAGTCAGGACATCAGTAGAATGAGCGGAACAGTTAAACAAGTTAAATCAGCGGAATATAAGCTGAAGCAGCTCGACGCTGGAAAACGTTTAAACTATGAACAGGAAACGGTCAGAGCGCTGACTCGGCGTGAACAGACCGAGGAGCAGAACCCGAGCGGTGCAGATAAACGCGCAGAGGAGATAAGCCTGAGAACGGTTCCTGAAACCAGAGCAGATCTGCAGCATGAAGCTGGAGCTCAGAGCAACACGGACAGTTTCAGCTGCAGAGTCTTACAGAGAGCAGCCTCCAGGTGACGGGCCGCACTTCTCTCGGTACTCCTGACCAGCTGTGCTTCCGGAGTTCTTCTGCAAGGCAGCAGAGACGAACAGAACCACGTGAGCATGGAGCTTTACTCAACACAACACAGCTCAGTGACACAGTTCAGAATGAAATAAAACACTTTTCAAACAGCTGAATGGTTCTTTAGTTTTTACAGGAAGACGTTTCAGGTGAAATCATTTAAAACGTTTCAATCCAATAAAAACGTCTTGTTATTTATTCCCTGCAGTACCCAGGTCAGTGTTGGGGCTGGCCAGCAGCTGCTTGAATTTATCCAGGCGGCTTTTCTCCCGCACCGCCATGGGGGGAGCCCCCGAGGCATTCTGGTCCGAGATCCGGGCCACCAGCGGGATGACGGGTCGAACCGGGAGACTCTGCTGCTTCTGCAGCGGCGAGCAGACTGAGAAAAAACAAAAACACAGAAAGGGAAAAAATAAATCAGGCCTTTAAAATTTAACCCGGTGATTTGATACATATCGTGACACAAAGGTCACAATWTATCGCAATATATTAGTGATACTGTAAGCAAGGTGATATACCACCAGTTTTTACTCCAAAAGATTTTATTTTGAAAAAACTCCTAAATTCTGTTTATTTTTATGCAATGTGAACTGTATTTGTATTTCACATTTCTTCTTACAAAACCCATCCATTAAGTCATAATTTAAAACGATTCAGTATCAGGAAATAAAATATCGTGATATTTTAGTGCATTGATTTTTTCTTACAGCTCTAGTTACGGCAGCTTTAAAAAAAAACTGAGGCTGTCTCTGTTGGCTGGGCTAAAAATGAGCAAGAGAAGCTCAGTTTAGCAAAACAAAAAAATTAAATAAAATAAAAGCAGCAGAACAGCAGCTAAAATCAGTCATGGATGTTAAAATCAGGTGCAATTACAAAAAAAAAATTGCAAGAAATGCTAAAGCTAAAATTACCTAGACAAAGGTAAAAACAGCAAAATAGTAGGTGAAATGAGCAAAAACCAAAGCTAAATTTAATAAAACTGCTAAAATCAGCTTAACATAAGCTAAAAGTAAAAGAACTATAAATAAAACAGTTGTTGACAAAGTACCTATTATCTTATGTTTTAGTAAAAATAATTGATGAGTTGTGTGACCTGTGTGACTAAGACCAGTGTTTGTGTTTGTTTGTAGATTTATTCCTGGGGTGTCAGGAATCTGTTTAAGCCAGATTTAATCCCAGCAGCGGCTTTAAATCCCTCCTAACAGAGCTCATAATTAGCTTCACTATGAATCAGAAGCTTCTCAGGTGATTTAACTCACCTGAGGACGTCTTCAGGTCGGCCTCGCTGCTAGACTTCAACACTTTGCCGTTGACCCGCTCACGCTCTGCGTCGTCGGCTTCCTGGAGGTTCTGAGCCTCCGTTTTGGGTGGTCTCAGAGCGCGTGGCGCTTCACTTCCTGTTTCCTCCGTCTGACGCCGCAGACGCTAAACAAAACACACGCAGGTGAGACTCCTTCCTGTTTCAGAGCAGCTCGTATTTAAAGGTGTCGTCTTGTTGATACCTGGTTCTGCGCAGAGTCCTGGCCCGACGGCGCCAAAGAAGCTGGGAGGGGAGTCCTGCGGAACTCTTCGTCCTCGTCCTCGTCGATGTCCCACGCGTCGTCGGTGCTGCTGGCGAACTCGTGGAAGCTGCAGGGCTTTTTAGATTTAACGCTGTTGAACTTGGGTTTTGTGTCTTTCGGATACCTGCGGAGGGACAGGCGAACGAGCAAAGAGAGAAAAACTTAATTCAAACAATTTAACGTAACAGAAAGAGACAAATGAAATGGTAAATATTGGGTCACGGTTGCACAGACGGGTGCATGCRGCTCAACAACACACAACAAAAAATAAATMAATAAAAACTGGGGGGAATTGGTGGAAACAAATAAAATCGATCATGCAGCRCGGCCGTGCACGGACCACTTACGTCCGCCGCAAACAGGGATCGAGAGGTGGATGCTGAGCTCCATAAACTGGCTGCACGCTGTTGAAAGACGTTAAACCTTTCAGAACATCCACTGACTGATCATTAATCAGAGAGAAGCTCCAGATGGTTCATCCTGTCCTGAAGGTTGATCTTTTACTCTGCCTGTCAGTGAGTGGAGGATTTAAAAAGTTTATTATTCTAACAGAGCTGAGTCTGGTCCTCTGGACAGGTTCTGCTTTCCAAACTGTGTCGTCATTTAGACTAAAACATTTAGTCCTGGCCTGTAGATGAGTGTAAACTGTAGAGTCTTAACCTGTAGATGAGTGTAAACTGTAGAGTCCTAACCTGGAGATGAGTGTAAACTGTAGAGTCCTGACCTGTAGACGAGTGTAAACTGCAGAGTCCTGACCTGTAGACGAGTGTAAACTGCAGAGTCC